AACTACTCGAATTTAGTTACCAAAAGTACGCGAAATTACTTAAAACCGGCTGATAATACTTTTGTACTACTCACAGAATCATTTTGGGGAGAAAAATAAAGTGAGCCGATTACCAGCCTTATGCGGACGCGTTCTTTCAATAATCTACCTTTTCCAGGTCAACATCAATACCCAACAAGCGCTTATGTAGAAGAAAAGCAGAAGGAAGAAAGTCATTGTGATAACATGGTATAATATTAGCTCCAAAAAATAACTAGTGTTTATCGAGTAGCTATATCGTAAAAGTATAAACTGGACTTGTAATAGCAGTTTAGTAATTTGGCTCATTTACTTCTTAAAACTGCAAAATTTCTCTTTTAATTACAGGAACAGCGTTATTCTTCAGTCATAAAAGGTGGTGCAAAAGCAAGAGCTAGAAATAAGACGTATACTATCGATGCAATTGAGAAGAAAGAGAATAATAAACAGAAAGCAAAGGAAAGGAGGAAAAGTATACTGACTGATGATGGAGTAAACCCAATGAAAGTATCAGTTATTGAAAGAGAAAACCAAAAATCATTCAGAAGGGAACAATTATTATCATTCCTTCGTAATTGGTCAGCATTCGATGAAGAACGAGGTGCACGTACAATTAGAGAACATATGCAAATACTGGCTAGTGGTGCGAAGTCAAATTCATTGAATTATGGTTATGTTGGAAAGCCCTTATATGAAGGTTCTTTTGAGTCAGTACACATGGGCAAAGTATTCCTCATAATATTTATGCAAAATTTGGATTTAGTTACAAGAACATCGTGGTGGATTTGTTACATATGAAGTTTAGAATCTGCGACATTCTTTTAAAACACGCAATGAAAGCTGCATGTGAACTTAAAAAGGATCCTGATAATAAAACAGCAATCACAATTGATGCAGCTGAGACACAATTAACAAATGCATATACATTTTTTACGGAGTTTGCCAAAGAAACAAAGGTATGTTTGATCTTACAGCAAAGACGGAACGTTTCTCCTTTGCATGTGTTTTACTTAACGGGCGAGGCAAAAGTTCTGCATTAATTTTGTTTTCATATGGAGTCGGAATAGATTTGGCTGGACTTTTTATGCAGACTAGTTGAAGAAAAATCTCTTTTGCAAGTTACTTATAAGCATAAGGACATGACTAATTCGAAAATATCTCTGCTCAGGTCTTTTCCGTTACCGAGATAAGAGACATTATTTCCTAAAAACTGACTCTT